CAGTAAATATACAGGCTTATGGTACCGTGCACTATGATACAGCAACACACTATTAACACTCTCGCTAGACGGCTGAGCTCGCGCTATCTAACAAGATATACACTATACTAACAATCTTTAACACATTTACAATCCCAACTAAACTATTGGCCAGTACCTTGAATGGACTACCTAAAACTATATACACCCGTTTTGGTTAGCCACACTGCCCAAACACCACATATAGCGAACTAGAGGGCGAAATTTACAAAATTGCCCTTCTAGTCTATTTACTCTATCAAAGTCTAGTGGGTTCCAAATTTACACGCCTTCCCACTTAGCCAAGATAGGTTGAGAGCTAGCGAACCGAATTTACACAGGCGCCGCTTAGTCTCCCGGTCCCTCCGACCTAGCGAACGTAATATACACCCTAGAACGCTAGTCTAGACAAGACACCGGTGTCCGGCTAGGGCTACTTACACAGGACCCCGCCTGACTAACCAGATCAAACGGTCTTACTAAAGAGCGTTCGATCGAGCGGTGCGCCTTCGCTCCTTCCCTCCGACAGAGGGGGCAGATTCCATACACAGATTTAAACCCCTTTTGGGCCTACCGCACAATCGGTATACCCCTAGTGGGTCTGCCGCCTAAAACAGCAGTTGTCTTACCTCCTCGTTCCTGAACCTGAGTTCACACTCATCGACGGGGACACCCCAGCACTTCTTACGTAGAGGCCGATGATCTCCTGGACAACAGACCAGTGGCGCCGAGACGAAGGGAGGTCCACGCAGAAGTTCAGGGGTGCAGCCGTAGAGAACGTGGGCAAAGATAGACCGTCTCACGCCTCTGTCTCTCAGCTACCGTTGAACGATGAGCTTCCCGGCCAATGCACCAAAATGATACCGGAGAAACTGACGGAAGCAAAGCACAGAGGGATGGACACAGGTTTCTTCAGGAAGGAAGAGATTCTTTATTGGATCACCGATCGGGACTCAGAGGGACTAATGTCACTAAAAATACAGCAAGTTCTGAGCCCTGAACAATAGTGCAGGCTCCCTATATAGGCACATAACTCCTCCCATATTAAGCTCCACCCGCACATTCTCTTGACCAATCATTACAAATAAGAATTAACTTCCTGCTTGACTGCATGGCTTGTCCAGCACAATGGAGGAGGGGAATACTACATCCTGTATTCTTGCACATGCTCCGTACACTACTGATCGTATCTTGCCTCGTGCAACCAACTGATCGATACGTCAGCATATGCACGTACACATGCCACGTGGTAATCTCGGCCTACTAAATTTATTTTTACCGAGATTCCACCACACTATTAGTTATCATCATTCATTATTATTATCATCATTATTATTATTATCATTATTATTATTATATTCCCTATGTAACAACTTCATAACATGCTGCACAGATTGCTTCAGTTGTTAAATGAGATGTTTACTATTAATCCCTTTTCCAGTTAACCCCTGCTATGCCAACACTAGTCTGTCTACAGCAGGGGTGCCCAAAAGGAAGATCCCCAGGTATTTTAAAACTACAGCTTCCATGATGCTTTGTTATTCTAAAGGCATGCAGAGCATCATGGGAGTTATAGTTCACCACATCTGGGGATCTACCTTTTGGGCAACCCTGGGCTACAATGGCATTTCCAGGCAGACCAAGTGACAGTTTGAGAAGTGATCAATAACGGGAAAAACAGAGGGAATAGTAAAAAAATGTTTTTATAAATCTCTCTCTCTCTCTCTCTGTATGTAAGATGTATAATATATTTAACATAAATATATATATATATAGTTTTTTTTTTAGTTTTTTTTTTTACTGCTTCTCCTGTTTGTCTTACTATTATTTACCATTTCTAATTTAATCTGTGAATGAAGTGGCATGAAAAGGCTCCTATTAATGTGCAGCAAAATATATACAAATTTAACACCATAATAACTTTATTATAATGAAGTTGCTATGTTGCCAGGAAGTCCCTCGTGCCCATTTACCTTTAGCAGGGCCGGCCTTAGACCTTTAGGCGCCCTGTGCGAAAAATCATTATAGCCCTGCCCCCTCCTCCTGTCGGTCATACCCTTTCATCCATGTATAGTGTGTGTCAATAGTTGTATTGTTTGTTTATAATATTTTAAAAAATCATAATTATTTAAAAACAAAAATATATCCCCCCTCCCCTGTTGTTACCTTGCAGGGAGGGGGGCATGCTGATCTCTGGTGATCCAGTGTGCTGGTAATCTGGTCGGCGCCTCCACCAGGTGCATAATAATATGATGAAAAAAAAAGGGGGGGAGGAGTCTCTGCTAGATAGCAAAGGTAAGAGCTGCAACCCTCAAAAGGGAATCCCTCGAGAACCCTCAATAAGATATGGAAAAAGAAAGAAGGGGTGAAGGGCTGCGCTAAATAAAAAATAAATAAAATATAAAATAAGTGGATAATAAAATAATGTTTAAAATAATACAGTATAAAAGATAAATATCGAGATAAAACGAAAGTCCGTGCACTAATAAAAAATAAACTTAAAAAGTCCAATAAAATGTATAAAAAACGTCTCACTGATATGTAGATAAGCTGTATACACAGTCCTCAAAGATTAATCCTTCCGAGTTTCCAGGGAATCCGTATATGAAAAAAAAGAACACAACAAACTTCCAATGGTATAGTATGTACTGAGAGAATTAGCGAAAAGAAGCAAAATGGAAGATAATACACTCACATTTGTTGGAGCTTTGGACCAGCTCTTAGTTGAAGGGCACTTAGCGGTATAATCCCCGCTAATGGATTTACTGTGGAAGTGGGTCCGTCCGTCCGGCTTGGGTTTCGTAGGATTCCGCAAGGTATATAAAAACAATAATAGTGCTCTCAGTAGAAAGAGAAAACAGAATATAAAATAAAATAAAATATACTCCACTTATATTATCCACTTATTTTATATTTTATTTTTTATTTAGCGCAGCCCTTCACCCCTTCTTTCTTTTTGCATAATAATATGATGTAGTGTGTTGGTGTCTGTGTGTGATAGGCATGTTGGCTGTGTGTAATATTTGTAATGGTTGTATTGACTGTGTGTGATATATGTGTGTGATATTTGTGCTGCACACAGTCCTAGGCAAATAGCCACACACAGTTACAGGTATATTGTCAAAAACAGTTACAGACAGTCACACACAGACAGGTACAGGCAGTCACACACACAGTTAAAGGTAATCACACACACACAAAGTTACAGGTAGTCAGTATCACACATACACACAGTTACAAGCAGTCACACACATAGGTGCAGGCAGTCACACACATTTCAAGCAGTCACACACAGTTACAGAGAGGAACACGTACACAGTGGAGCAGGGGCACAGTGGAGGTGGGTGGGGGAGCATGGGCAGTGTAGTGGTAGGTAGGGGAGCAGACGCACCGTGGGTAGTCATTTAGCAGAGGCACAGTGGGTTCAAAGCTTGGACATGTCACCAGTGGGGTACCTCAGGGATCTGTACTTGGACCCATTCTCTTTAATATTTTTATTAGTGATATTGCAGAAAGTCTTGATGGTAAGGTATGTATTTTTGCTGATGATACTAAGATATGTAACAGGGTTGATGTTCCAGGAGGGATAAGCCAAATGACAAATGATTTAGGTAAACTAGAAAAATGGTCAGAATTGTGGCAACTGACATTTAATGTGGATAATTGCAAGATAATGCATCTTGGACGTAAAAACCCAAGGGCAGAGTACAGAATATTTGATAGAGTTCTAACCTCAACATATGAGGAAAGGGATTTAGGGGTGATTATTTCTGATGACTTAAAGGTAGGCAGACAATGTAATAGAGCAGCAGGAAATGCTAGCAGAATGCTTGGTTGTATAGGGAGAGATATTAGCAGTTGAAAGAGGGAAGTGCTCATGCAGTTGTACAGAACACTGGTGAGACCTCACTTGGAGTATTGTACACAGTACTGGAGACCGAAGGGTTACTAAACTGATTCATGGATTGCAGGATAAAATTTACCAGGAAAGGTTAAAGGATCTTAACATGTATAGCTTGGAGGAAAGACGAGACAGGGGGGATATGATAGAAACATTTAAATATATAAAGGGAATCAACACAGTAAAGGAGGAGACTATATTTAAAAGAAGAAAAACTACCACAACAAGAGGACATAGTCTTAAATTAGAGGGACAAAGGTTTAAAAATAATATCAGGAAGTATTACTTTACTGAGAGGGTAGTGGATGCATGGAATAGCCTTCCAGCTGAAGTGGTAGAGGTTAACACAGTAAAGGAGTTTAAGCATGCGTGGGATAGGCATAAGGCTATCCTAACTATAAGATAAGGCTAGGACTAATGAAAGTATTTAGAAAATTGGGCAGACTAGATGGGCCAAATGGTTCTTATCTGCCGTCACATTCTATGTTTCTATGTAGGTGGAAGGAATAGGGGCACAGTGAGTAGGTCAGGGATCAGGGTGCAGGTGGGGGGAGCTGGGGCACAGTGAATAGGTGGGGGGAGCAGGGGCACAGTGAGTAGGTGGGGGCGAGCAGGGGCACTCTGAGGATATTTATGGGGTGATAAATATTAAAAATAATATTTTCTAACACAGGTACATGGCCGGAGTGAAATAGCCACATAATATACAACAGACAATGCACCTGGCTCTTATGCAGTTCCTAGCCACTACACCCTTCAACATCTGAACCGCAACACACACTCCTGCCCTATACCCCAGCTACACAAGTAGGTTCTACACAAACATGCAAGTGTATAGGCAGCTAATATTGGCAATAAGATGTTTTTCTCCAGCATACTGTACAATATGAATCCATTAGACCTACGGGTCACCCAGCCACCTAAACTAAACTATGTGCAGTAATTTTCTATGCCCTGTACTAGATACAACGTGTATATTGCCATCCTTGCTATTGCTATTAGGGCATCGCAGGAAAGTTGGTTAACTCTTAACACTACAATGGTATAGGGTTTTTCAATGGTATATGGTTTTTCTCTTTAACTCGGCCGCACTGCAATAGGCTTTGGTGGGACCGAATCACATGGCACACCTACCCTTTCAACCCAAGAGCAGTATACAGCTCATACTCCCACTACACCTGCAGTACCTGCAACCACATAGTAACTTACAAAAACTACAAATGGAGACCAGGCCACTACGATAACAAATGCCCCCCACCCCAGGTTACATGGTATTTTAATCTATCCAGCATGTTATATGCCACAAGCTCTCCCTTTACTTATGTTCAACAAATCAGAAACAGAATACACTTGCGGCAAGACGAACATACATATCATTATTGTTACACCACCTTATCATCTAATACTTGAATCTTTTTTTACATATCACAATATACACGCCATCACTATTTGCATGTATTCTGGACATACGTTAACTAAATACAAAAATGTGCAGTATATACGAAAGCCATGTAAGTGACTTATGGTGATTGTCTTTATCGTGCTTGTCTCAGCTATCGTGGCGTCTCAAGCCTGTTTGTTACCTTTTGCACGTGAAAAATAAAGAATTTAAAAAAATAAAATAAAAATAATAATCTTTTCATAAAAATTATCAAAAATGTATTTAATAATTTTTATTATATTAAAAATTAAAATCTTGGCACTGTTCCCTGATTAATGATATAAAGCTGAAAATTACCCACTATTTTAATTCTCTTAGATCCTAGAGGAAGTTTCACCAGAAGATTTTTATTCCACATATTAATCACAATTTAATTATAAAAATATAATTTATTGTGACAATAATAATAAAAATAATATATGTAATATGCGTGACAATAATCAGTGAATATTTAGGTATAACATAAGTATACAATATGGCAGTGGTTTAACACACCATAGACAGCTACATAGCAACACACTGCTTAGAAACCAAATTCACAGAGAAGACAGAATTTCACAGCAGTACACATCAGTGCAGCGTAAAGCAATAAAAACTTTGGCTGACAGTCAAATCACACTGAATTAACACTTTCCATTGCTGGCTACAATCCTCATAAGCAAGATATCCTATTATATTGCAATGTTACTACAATATTCTCATATCAGGTCATTTACCATTCGTAAATCCATCCAATAAGAATAATTCTAACTAGATTTTACATTTGCCGAATTTTAACCTTCCTAAATAAGATTCACTATCTAATATCAGAACAAGTCAATACCTCTAGATAAAAATTGGGTATGCTAACATTTGGCAAATTAACCATTAATATATTGTTATTTTTATTCCACCTGAGGGAATGGAAATTTTATAAGCAGGGGCACAGTGGGTAGCTGAGGGAGCAGGGGCACAGTGGGTGGGTGGGGGGCAAGGTACAGTGGGTCAGTGGGGGGAACAGGGGCACAGTGGGTAGCTGAGGGAGCAGGGGTTCAGTGGATAGGTGGGCGGGGGCAAAGTGGGTAGCTGAGGGAGCAGGGACACAGTGGGTAGCTGATGGAGCAAGGGCACAGTGGGTGGATGGGGGGAGCAGGGGCAGTGTGATGCTAAGTGAGGGAGCAGGAACTCCTTTCTGCTTCCCCTCTCACTTACCAGGCAGAGGGTTCAGCGTGTGTAAAAGAGTCCCACAGTTTCCCTTTGATAATAAATTTTATAATTTATTATGTCTTATTATTTTTTTATTATTTATATAGCGCCAGCAAATTCAGAAGCACTGTACAATAGGGGGACTAACAGACATGTAACCAGACAAATAGACACACAGGAACAGAGGGGTTGAGGGCCCTGCTCAATGAGCTTATGCCAGGGCACGCACCGTTCCTGTGGAACTTGCTTCCCTCCTCCGTTAGATGCTCACCCAGTCTCCACTCCTTCAAAAAATCGTTAAAAACCCACTTTTTCATAAAAGCGTATCAGTTAAACTGTTAATAGCTCCTGACTGATTCCTCTTCTGCAACTGTCACTAGTCTAATACTATCCTTACCTTTTTGTGTCATTTTACCCCACTCCCTCTAGCATGTAAGCTCATTGAGCAGGGCCCTCAACCCCTCTGTTCCTGTGTGTCCAACTTGTCTGGTTACAACTACATGTCTGTTCGTCCACCCATTGTAAAGCGCTGTGGAATTTGATTTGTGTATGTGTGATATGATTATAAATAATAATAATAATAATGCCAAGGCATTTGATACAGTTCCACACAATAGATTAGTGTTAAAATTCAAAAAAAATCGGTCTAGATAAAAATTCTTGGTCTTGGGTACAACATTGGCTTAAAAACAGAGTACAAAAAGTTTTTATTAATGGTACATTTTCAAGCTGGACAGAGTGGTGTCCCTCAGAGTTCTGTTCTGGGACCCCTTCTATTTAACATGTTTTTAAATGATCTTGAAAAAAGCATTGAAAATCATGTTTCATTTTTTGCAGATGACACAAAACTCTGTAAAGTAATACAATGTGAGCAAGATATTACTTTGCTGCAGATGGATTTAAATAGACTGGGAGACTGGGCACACAAATGGCAGATGAAATTTAATGTTGAAAAATACAAAGTTATGCACTTCGGTGTAAAGAATGCACAAGCAACGTATACCCTTAATGGAAGCGAATTAGGGATAACAACACATGAAAAGGACTTGGGAATTGTTATAGACAACAAACTATGCAACAATGTGCAATGTCAATCAGCAGTGGCTAAGGCCAGTAAGGTATTTTCTTGCATAAAAAAGGGCATTCATTCTTGGGATGAGAATATAATTTTGCCTCTTTATAAATCACTGGTAAGACCACATATTGAGTATGCTGTGCTATTTTGGGCACCTGTTCTGAAGAAGGATATTATAGCACTAGAAAAAGTACAGAGGTGGGCTACAAAATTAATCAAAGGAATGGTACATATAAGCTATGAAGAAAGGTTAACACATTTAAACCTCTTTAGTTTAGAAAAACGTCGCCTGAGAGGGGATATGGTAAAATTATACAAATATATCCAGGGCCAATTTAAACCATGGTGTGGAAAGCTATTTACACAGGACACAAGGTCATGCGTTTAGACTGGAAGAAAGAAGATTTAGTCTAAGGCAAAGAAAAGTTTTTTTTACCGTAAGAACACTAAGGATGTGGAATTCTTTGCCTGAAGAAGTGGTTTTATTAGAGTCCATACAGATGTTCAAACAGCAACTAGATGCTAGGGGAGAGATACACACGGATGCTAGGTGTGGGGAATAGGTGCGAGAGTATGAGGATTGAGTGTGACAGGATGAGTGAGGTACGTATGACAAGGTGAGGTTGACCATGAGTGTTTGGGGTGTGAGTGTGACAGGGAGTGGGGGCTAGGTGTAACTGTGTAAGAATTCCAGAGACTGCGCTCCGACCCTCTCAAAAAACGTTGGAACCACAAGATAGTGCAACTTTTTCTAAAGTGCCAACAGGGATAATTTGTGATCAAAACAGAAACCAGGGCCAGGGCCCTAAGCAGCACAGGCCTGGGCCCTAGGTGGCTGCCTTGGTAACCTAATAGGTAATCCGGCTGTGACCTAAGTCCTTAGCCAGTATGTGCACATAAACCTATCTGAATGCACCATAATGCAGGTTATGTGTATGGTAATACTTCATAAGGGCCATCAAAGTAATTTATTAACAGTCAATAATTTAGTAGCATTTTTTTGAGGTTTTATGTGTTATTATGGGGAATGGAGAGGTGAAACTGTAAATGGGTGCCCACTGGCTGCACAGGAGGGGTACATTTTGGAGTAGTTATGGTGTTTGTGGTGTTCCTTTAACAACAAAAGGCACATAGATGTATATAATTTTTTTTGCAATACAGTGTAATGAAAGCCAATAAAAATGTTAACAGTATAAGACAAAACTTAAAGCGGCATTGTCATGACCAAATCCCGTTTTTCTTTAACCCCCCTCCCGACTTCACTACATCTAATTGTCCCCTTAGTCACCCTAAATGCCCCTAAGCGCCCCCATATTACCTATGTTTTTAATCTTTATTTTCTGCCCGGATCTAGGTCCTCGGCGCCGCCATCTTTGTGTGGGTAGATGTCCTTGTGGGACACGTCATTTGCCCACACTAGATAGTGCTGTGAAATTCCTGCTAATGCCCAGTTA